GTGGGACGAGTTTCGCTGTTAAGCTCGTGTTTGGGTGGAGAAGGTATACTAAGAGTAGTGGTAGAAGTAGAGTTGAGAGAAAAATAAGAAGGATCATTTTGAGGATTAAGTTTGGTGAAATGTGGAAGATGTTCAACTATGCTCTATGCTCTTGAAAGAAAAAAAATAAAAAATAAAATAAAAATATTATTTCTTCAAGAGCTACTAGTGTCGCTCTGCAGCCACGTGAATTTTTATTTGAAACGTGACATCAAAAATGATTTTCTGTTTATATTATTTTGGACCACAAGTTGTATAGAATAAGGGGCACGTTTGCTGTCCATTAAATGTTTTTGTGAAAGTGATATTTTAGACTGTTAATTATTTATAATGCCCAATCTAGAAACTAGTAGAAAATTTGAGTAATTGCTTAGGGGGTGATTGTTTACAAAACAATTTACTCACTTTTATTTCAACTCAAAATTTAACTCAACTTTAACTCAACCCCACTATTTTTAATATTATTCATATAATTAAATATAGAGTAAATTTCTTTTTACCTCCCAAAGTATGTGATTTTTTTGACTTTGCCATATAAACTTTTTTTGTTGACATTTTGCCACCCAAAGTAATCGAACCTGACATTTTGCCTCCTTGATTAAAAACCCTAAAATGGCACAAAAGTGTTTTAACTCAATTATTGATAAAATTTAAACTAATCTTTAAAATTGATTTAGGGCTTTTAAAGTTCATGACGAGACGAACAAAATGAGGTATGATTTGTCGAATTCTGAAAATTGATACTTCTATAATTAATCCACGAAGATAGTAGGAGCACGTGTGTATCGAAAAAAATTCAATTCAAGATTTTTGATAATCAAGATATCCGATTTTTGATTGGGAGGTGTCATTTGAAAGCTTGGAGGACGAGTTTTCTATCGAAGTAAATCTCATGAAAATCCAACGGTCGGATTTTGGTTAGTAGCAAAAAAAAGCTAACTATCGATCAATAGTTTTCTAAATACTGATAAAAATCTGACCGTTGGATTTTCATGAGATTTAATTTTATAGAAAACTCGTCCTCCAAGCTTTCAAATGACACATCCCAATCGAAAATCGGTTATCTGATTATCAAAAAACTTGAATTGAATTTTTTTCTATACACACGTGCTCCTACTATCTTCGTGGATCGATTATAGAGGTATCAATTTTCAGAATTCGACAAATCATACCTCATCTTGTTCGTCTCGCCATGAACTTTAAAAGTCCTAAATCAATTTTAAAGATTAATTTAAATTTTATCATTAATTGAGTTAAAACATTTTCGTGCCATTTCAGGGTTTTTAATCAAGGAGGCAAAATGTCAGTTTCGATTACTTTGGGAGGCAAAGTGTCAACAAAAAAAGTTTATATGGCAAAGTCAAAAAAATCGCATACTTTGGGAGGTAAAAAAAATTTACCCTTAAATATATATAAACCAATAATTCTAATACATCACATCAACTTTAATTTACTATTCATCCACTCACATAATTTTAACTACCTATCATTTTCAATAATTTCCAATTTTATCTTTTACTTTTACATCAAATCAATTTTAATTATTTTATTTTAAATATTATTTTAATACATTCTTAAAATTTCACTACAACTAACCATACCACCTTTTTTAAAATTAACTATAGTTAACCAAAATAATTCAATTTGAACAAATTATTTTATAAACAATCAAACCCTTAGCCAATAAGATTCCTAGAAGTATCATGTGGGTTGCGTAAATTGTCTTTTGACCCGGCCTGAACTGCAATCCGATGACACGAACCGTCTAGCAGTCTTCGATGACCTGCAACACACCAGGATCATGACGGAAGACTCTGACGTTCAAGTCAATCCGTGTTCAACGATAATGCAATCAAGAACATGTATCCCCTTTTATGGTTAGGGTTGTGTGTGTTGTTCAAGGGACTTTTTTTTTTCGAAGTGTTGTGAATCGCACGCTTGAATGTGGAATAATTACTAAACAACTGAAATATATAAATAAGGGAAAGCAGATCTGACAAAACATTAAGGATAGTAAAAATGTAACAAGATTGGCAAGGAAAATGACAGAATGTATTGAATGTAATAATAACATAGCTGCTAGTGTATAGTATCAAAGAGTATATTTCTTGTATTTCTTGTGTTTTTTCTCTATGTTTTGTTCTCTCTCAAGTTTTTTCAACTAACAGTAAATAAAAAAATTAAAATTCATGAAATTTTGGTGACTCATGAGCACGTGCCAGTTAAAAACGCGACTCCTCCAGCATGGTAGCGAACACATAAAACTATAGATACATCATAATATCTAATCTTTACACAACGCGAAACAATGGAGTTTACAATACCACCTAGTGCGCACCTAACAACTACCAGCCGTATATCGGGTTCTCCACCTGGGGCGGCAAGAGACCAAGATCATCACTATGCTGCTTGTCATAGTCCCTAGTCCGGGGTATAGCCCCAGTACACAACCTAAGAAATTCATTTCCCGTCAGGCAGTAATGCGCGAGTGCAAGTCCACCATCGGCCATTTCACTCAGGTTGGGCAACGAGATTGATTTCATCAAACCACTATCATTTCTGGTCCTGCTCGAATTCCGACCACCTGAGTTCGAATCATTATTCAAGACTTTGTTGAGCTCGGAATATTCCATGAAGCGCTGGGTGGCTGCCTCCCAGGAGAGGTTGTACATCTGCTCGGGTGTCAGAGGCTGGGGCTCGCTGGCCATGGCTTCTCTCACTTTGGTGACAAAGTCCTCGGGCGTTTTGTAGGTCAGGCAGTTGGGGAATGCCCTGAAGAAGTCGTTTGAAGGGTGGTCCGCACAAACGACAAATTTGCCCATAGCGAGTGCCTCAGCTGTGGCCGTGCAGAGGACGTCACTCACACTTGGGTTTATGAAGATTTTGTAGCTGCAGGCAGAATAAACAGAACGACGAGAACAAGACACAAGTGAAAAAAGGAATATTTCTTTTAAAAGGTTCCTTCTATGTGCAGACTATGGAGGAGCATCTCTACTCTCAGGCCACAATTATTGCAATTGGAGTTCACACTGGTCATAAGTTTCTAAAACTGTTCCATAAAATTTACAGCCTATATATTATAAATGCTTAAAAATCACTATAGCTCTAGATCCCAGCAATTATTTACTTCAGTCAATACACGAGAAAGATAGATTGCATCATAATCGCTTCAAGTTTGAATGATAATTATGTTGTAAAGGGAACATACCCCTGTAAGGAATCATCTGCGTGATCTCTGCCTTTCATGAAGTTGAGATTCAAATTAAGTCTTTTAGCAGTGCTCTGAACTTCCTGAGCATCCTCTCCATTGCCATACACGTCCAAGTTGAATCCATCCAGGTCTTTCTTGTGCTTTGATAATAAATCTATCAACTCTTTATACCCTTTTGCCCACACCATTTTGCCTAAGAAATATGCCCCCTTTGAAAATGTTTTCTCCCCGCGCTCTTTTTCGGAAGCTACTATTTCACCAATTTTCAAGAACTTGGGGTTCACCCCATGAACATTGCAAATCACGGATTTAGGTAAATCTTGAGTAGCAGCAGATAGCCGAAGGACCTATAGAAAACACCAAATGAAACAATAGTTTAGACCTAAGCAGCAAATACTACATTCAAATATTAAATTTTAGTAAGGACTAAGGACTAACCTCTATTGGTTGAAAACCCTATAAATATATAATGTGATACAGATGATGAGAAAGATTTTAGAAAAGAAAATTCGAGAAAGACCACAACCTTGTGACAGTATGCTCTGACCACCCAATTGTTTATGTGTTTGACTAGAAAAGCTTGAAGGGCACCATTCTTCTCCCTCTTGATGTATTCCAAGTAATTCGTATGAACAACACCGACTACATGGTTGAATTTATCAGTCCAACGTTTACCATGGTGGTACCAGTTCAAATGTTCTGGTTCTTCTAGGATTGCAATGTCAGCATCCTTTGAGGAGATGAACTGAGAAGTATCCCCCGCAGGTATAATACTGCGCCTTGCTTTCGAGAACTGTATACGGAAAAAAGAGCAAAGAAAAAGCTCGGTGTGAATATTAAACAAATACCTGGACTCATTTACAAATTACATTAAGAGAACACCACTGAAGGCTACATGCATCTATATGGATTTAGATCCTACAACCACCATAACCACCAAAATGAAAATATGGCTCTCTAACTATATTAAATATATAGAAAGTATATTTTAACCGTCAACACCCCAAAATTTGTTAAGTAAAACATGATAGTATGAACAGATGATCCAACAAAAATTAGTTCACAGGAAAAATATTCCAAAAAGAATAGACTAAACAAGATAGATGTCGCACTGCAATTATCACAAGGACAAGCATATAAATAAATAAAAAATTGACCAAAACAACTACCTTTCCTGGGTAGAATGATATCTTGAAGTCAGCCTTGAATCCAATCCTCTCCTCAAGCCAACTGCGTATATAACTTTCCTGCTCCTCAGGCGAACTAAAAGTGACATTATTGGGATACACAAGCTCCTGATCAGATCTACAAAGCCATGGAACCAAGAGAGTCACATTCTGCTTAGCGGAATTCGCCAAATATGCTGCTCTAAACAAAGGATTTACAGCTGTCCCAGTCATCCAAGGAAGGCTGGCAGTGGTGACAATAGCCACATGCCTCTTTCTCTCAGACATGCCATGTTTCCCAACGTCATTCCAAAAACCACCTTCATAACAATGCCCCGTACTCTGGAGAACACTGGCTACCCTTAAATCCAACTCATCATTGATGTTCTCACTTTCAATCATAGATGACTCTCCCGCAGGTAAAGAGCGTAACACAAGCTGATTCTTACGCTTACTGCACAAGCTTTCTACTATCTTGTCCGATATTCCTGAAACACATAAATTTAAAAATAATAAATTGTGGAACAAAAGCCTGGCCAAGCTCTCACTGATTTAACTGATACAATCACGGTTTTTGATATTCCGAGTCATCTGGCATGGAAAGAAAATCTAGGTTTTGAGTTCAAACTATGCTCGACTGACGACAGAAAACAAAGGCCTAGAAGAAAAACGTATAAGATTTGTTTGAACTCTACAAATATAAACAGAGATCCAATTTTTCATACCAATTTATCGTATACCATTGACCACAAACTCTAAGCTGTTGCAGTACCATTTATGTTTCAGTAATATGACAGCAAATAACATTATCACATGGAAAGTAGATAAAACATTTTAGTAAACTAAGTTAATGATTTTGACAAATAAAACCAATAATAACTATAGTCCTAGCAAAAAAAAGACTCAATGTATCTGCATGTTAAGATACGAAGAATAGAAACGCTCATAGAAACTACAAACCTCTGCTAATGCCGAGTTGATCCAGTAAGGGGCTGGACTGTCTTACTAAAGATGCCAGCAGTTCTGGTACATCGAGGGGCGGAACTTCCTGAATCCAGTGAAGCAAACTCATAAGATATAATCTTCTTAGTAGATTTAAGACACTAGGATACATCATGTGTGGTTTGATGTTTAAGGAGTTCAAGATTTGATGGAAGACTAGTCTTCTATATATTATAGTCAGTAGCCCCTTAGTTGTCAAGTCGAGCAATAAACTGGGAATCCAGTTTGAACCATTTTACTTCTCACCTTGTCTTCTCTTTCCAGACAAAAAGAAGTGTGAAATTAGAAATAAGAAGTGAACTAACCTTTGACTCATTTGGATCCTTGCAAAGTGTTTTCTGCAAAAATAAATTGGAACAAAAAACAACAAACAAAGATATGTCATAAAGATTGTATGCGCAATCTAATAACAAGCTATTACGATAACATTTTATCATGGCTGGAGTCGACGGACTAAACATTGATATCCGCTTTTTATAAACCCAACTTGATGAAGTAAAAATCACAACATTGCACCAATTTTATCATTACAAACTCTGCCACTTAATGAGCAGTACCAATTTAGACAGTTTAATAACAATCAGCATGTAATCATTCTGGATACCAAAGAAAAGAAAAGGAAAAGAAAAAAGAAAAACAGGAAAAAACACATGATTTATCATCTGGAGCACTCAGAATCAATTAAAATGTCATAAAAAAATTGTAAAATACTATTATTATTTAACAAGAAACATGAAATCCATACCAGGCTTGATTTGAATTTTTCGACAAACTCACTATTCCTAATCCCCTCAAAAATCTCACTGGAACTCTTGTGCTCTAATTCCCTCAGCCTGGACTTCAACGTCTTCATCGGTTCCCAAAATTCTCCAAATTGCCCCTCCTCCCTCTCCCTCTCCCTCTCCTTGAACTTTGCTCTCCACTTCCTGAAGTTTTCTCTCTCATCCTCCACATCATCCTCCCCCACCTCCGCAACAATAGCGTTCTTAATCGCTGACAAATCGATCTTAATCTGCGGCCGCCGGTAGAAGTTGAAATCCGGCGACGAGTACACCCTTCTGATTTCAGACAGTTTAGGCTGAAGCTTCTTCACGAAGTCGATTTCGGCATAAGGAGCCGGGTTGAGAGTGGCGGAGGCGGTAATCGAGGGCACGCTGAAGGTCGATTTGGAGGCGGAGTTGAGGAAATTCTCGAGCTCCCTGTCGGCTAGGTTCTTAAAGGAGTTGGCCCGGTTCTTGAGCAGCTGGAGATCAGCGTCCGCGGAGGAGCGCACCTCGCGCCACCCCTTGGATATGAAGGAGAAAGCCTTCTCCGCCGTGACGATCGAGCTGCTGGAGCCCGACGACTTCACCGTCGGGGAGACCGACCAAGCCTCCGGCGGCTTGAGATTCATCGGTTCCTCTAACTATTTCTCCTCTGTTTTCCGATCAATTTCTAGGGCTACGGCGAATTAGGAAGATTGAATGGCGGAGGGTGAAGGTGCTGGCTGCGTGTGAGGATGTTTTAACGGCTAAGATTTTAGTATCTTTATATTATTTTTTGAATAAGATTATGGTATTATCATATACACTGCTACACATGCTAAAGCTATGCTAAATAAGTGGCGTTAAATAATAATAATGACTTTGGTGTAATTTTCACATGGGTGGAGGGGAGGGGGTTGATTCAGAGGGAAAGTGACACGTGGATGTACACGTAGGACGAATCAGTTGATTAGGGAAATCCTGGGAGCAGTGAGTTGGAAGCGTGTGATTTGATGATTTGGGCTGAAGCACGTGACTCCTGAAATGTTTTGAGTTGATGATGTTATCATTCTCGATTCTCGAATTATGTAGAGATCGGGGCCATCCGGCGAGCAGTAGGTGTGCCAGGGCACATTTGCACGCGCCCATTTACTCCCAAAACTCCCGAATACTAGAGAAATTTGGAGAGTGTAGTTCACATCCCTAATTTTCTTTTTTAATTAAAAGATGGGACATATTACATAAATTAAAATATCATTAATTATTTATATTAAAAAAATAAAATAAAAACTAATTTTTCGTTTTTTCATAATTTTTCATAATTTTTCGTAATTATTTTATTATACTGACATATAATGAACATGTTACATAATAAAATGAATATGTTTTCAAATATGATGAACATGTTACAGATTGTAGATTAAAACAATACATATTCATCTTATTTTGTCACATGTTCATTTTATTGTGTATGTAACATGTTCATCTTATTCTATAACATGTTCATTTAATCATGTAACATGTTCATCTTAGTAACATGTTCACCTTATTGTATATGTAACATGTTCATCTTATTATATAACATGTTCATTTTATTATGTAACATGTTCATCTTATTTTATAACATGTTCATCTTATTATATAACATGTTCATTTTATTATGTAACATGGTCATCTTATTCTATAACATGTTCATTTTATTTATGTAACATGTTCACCTTATTGTGCATGTAACATGTTCATCTTATTCTATAACATGTTCATTATATTATGTAACATGTTCATCTTATTCTATAACATGTTATTTTATTATGTAACACGTTCATCTTACTTTAGAACATGTTCATCTAAATTTAATTTGTGAAAATGTAACATTTTCATCTTATTCTATGACATGTTCATCTTACTCTATAACATGTTCATTTTGTTGGAAAGTGCAATGTCGATCGTCATTTTATCCTTTTAGCATGTTCATGTAGCTTTCCTTTTATCTTTTGGCAAAAGCGCTAGTGCGTTTTTTTCTTTTTTCTGTTTTGCTTAGGATTTCCCAGCGACGTCGTTTGGGTTAAGTAGCACGACGTCGTTTCTCCTTTATCTGCATGTGTACGTGTATATAAGTCCTGTACACTTTTGAGCTTGTTGAATATACGAAAATGGTGAGAATTTCTTCCCCAAATTTCTGAGTGTTTCAACATGGTACCAGAGCAGTGATTCTGGAAAATTTGAGATCGCAGCCGAAATCGAAGAGTTCACCACGTTCCGTACGTAGATCCAGCTCAAAATGAAGGACTGCTGTGAAGATCCATGGCCGATTTTAACAGTAAACGCAGAGTCGTCGAACACGAAGACGACGGAACCAGATCCATACCAGCTTCATGGCTCCGATTCACCTGGTATGATGCTTGTCTCGCATCAGTTAGATGGAAGCAACTTTTTATCTTGGAAACGATCGATGATTATAGCCTTAGGGGCTAAAACAAAGCTTGGATTCATTAATGGTGAAATCGAACAACCAAACCTGAAGGATGAGAAGTATGCGGCATGGAGAAAGGTCGACTGGACTGTGCTCTCATGGATTCTAAACTCGCTAACAAAGGACATTGCAGGATCGTTCCTCTATGCAGAAAATTCAAAGGAGTTGTGGGAGGACATTTGTCAAAGGTACGGTGAAAATAATGGTCCTATGAGATATAAAGTGCAGAGGGAAATATCTAGCTTAAGTCAAGGAAGTAGCTCGGTAATGGAGTATTTCAATAAATTGAAAAGGCTTTGGGATGAGTTTGCTTGCATAGTGCCTTTGAAAATATGTGACTGTGAGAAAGGTAGGTTGATGTTGCAGCATGAAGCTGAAAACAAGCTGATTCAGTTTTTAATGGGGCTAAATGATGGATATGATAACTTGAAGAATCAGATTTTGCTTATGGAGCCACTGCCAAGTGTGAGCAAGGCCTTTTCTATGGCTTTGACTGCAGAGAGGCAAAGAAGTGTTCAAAATATATATGGAGAGAAGGTTGATAGTGTGGCAATGATGGCAAAGACAGGAGGATATGGGAGAGGTGGAGGACCACAAGGAAGAGGAAATTTTGGGGGAAGAGGAGGTAATGGAGGTCAGTGGAATGGAGGAAGAGGAAGAGGAGGTTTGAGGATGACTAAGGAAGAGAAGGCAAAATTGATTTGTGACAAGTGTGGGATGCATGGACACACTGTTGCAACATGTTTTAAAATTCATGGAGTTCCTGAGTGGTTTAAGGAATTGAGGGAACAACAAGGAAGGTCATATGCTAACAACATCATAACATATGATAATGCAGATGTTCAAAACCAGAAGTCAGGATACAAAGAGGATGAAAGGGGTAGAGACCTGGAGTCAGTGATTAAACAGTTGAATGAGTTGACACGATACATTAAAGGAAAGGAGAACAATGCAAACAAAGTGGATTATGCACAATTTGTGAGCTTCACAGGGATGGATGAGAGTGAAAATATGCATTATGCACTGTCCATGGTTGAAGGAATAAGTGAAAGGAGATGGATAATTGATACAGGAGCAAGTAGACACATATGCATCAATGATAAGATCATGAGAAACCTGGAAAGAATAGAGGGGCCAGTGTCAATATGCCTACCAGATGGTTCATTAAAGAGTGTGGAAATGAAGGGAGAGGTTGTGATCAATGAGAGGATAACCTTGAAGGATGTACTATATATGCCAGGCTTTAAATATAATCTGCTTTCAGTCATGCAGCTGTGTGGAGACAGGGATCTGAGATGGATTTTTGATGGAAGGCAGTGCATTCTTCAAGATCAGAAGGATGAAAGAATAATTGCTCTTGGCAAACTTGCTGGAAATCTATATGTGCTAGAAGACAGCATAATAAAGGAGGAGCAGTGCAACATGACAATGGAAGATTTGCACAAGTGTCTGGGACATGCATCTTTTGGTGCTCTAAAACACATTGAAGCCTTAAAGGATAAAGAGAACAAAGGTGCTGAAAGGAGGGTACAAACCTGTGAAATCTGTATGAAAGCAAAACAACACAGACAACCATTTCAAGACAGCAGCATAAAGACAACACAGTGCTTTGAACTAATCCATGTGGATATATGGGGACCATGTAAAGAGGAGGCCATCACAAATACACCCTACTTCCTCAGCCTTGTGGATGATTATAGCAGAGGAACATGGGTGTTTCTCATGAGGAACAAGTCACAAGCAGAAAAGATATTGCAAGGATTTGTGACAATGGTGAAAAGGCAATATGGTCTCAAGGTAAGGAGAATAAGATCAGATAATGGGAAGGAGTTTACTGAAAAGGGTTTGCAGGAGTTCTTTGGAAGAAAGGGAATAATGCATGAGACAACTTGTGTGTACACTCCACAGCAGAATGGGGTGATTGAGAGGAAACACAGACATCTTCTGGAAGTAGCAAGATCATTCATGTTTCAAGGTAATTTACCTATCAAATTCTGGCCATTTGCAGTTCTAACTGCAGTCTATGTGATTAACAGAACTCCAAACTCGGTTATAAAATGGGAAACACCTTTTGAGAGACTCACAAAGAAGGTTCCTGATTATGTGATGATGAAACCTTTTGGATGTTTAGCATTTGCTACAGATAATACACCACATAAATCCAAATTTGATCCAAGAGGAAAAAAATGTGTATTTCTTGGGTATGTGGCTGGGAAGAAGGGCTATCAACTATATGATTTGGATGACAACATCTTGATGATTAGCAGAGATGTAGTCTTTGTTGAGGAACAATTTCCTTTTGCAGAAGGGGATGGAAGTAAAGGTACATTGCCAGTGGCAGTACAGGATCTTGATGATGAGACTGCATATGAATCACATGAAAAGGTTCAGGAAATACAACATGATGAAGATGAAATGCCCAAATTAAGGAGGGGTTTAAGACAAAGGAGGGCACCACAATGGCAAGCTGACTATATTTGTGATCCTGCAGCCTTTATGGCAAATGTGTCTCTTGAAAAGGAGCCTAGCCACTATGGACAGGCCAGTAAGCATCCTGCATGGGTGGAAGCAATGGAGAAAGAGCTTGCAGCTCTAGAGGAAAATCACACTTGGGAGTTAACCACATTACCAGAAGGGAAGAAAGCAATAGGTTCAAAATGGGTTTATAAGATAAAAAGAAAGGCAGATGGATCAGTTGAAAGGTACAAAGCAAGGTTGGTAGCAAAGGGGTATAATCAGGTGGAAGGAGTGGATTTCTTTGATGTATTCTCACCTGTAGCCAAACTGGTGACTGTAAGGATGTTCATTGCAATGGTAGTAGAATGTGAATGGGGTCTGCACCAACTAGATGTGAACAATGCCTTCTTGCATGGCCATCTTTCAGAAGAAGTGTATATGAAGCCACCTCAAGGGTATACCAAGGCCAAGCATGGAGAGGTTTGCAAACTGGTAAGGAGTTTATATGGTTTAAAGCAGGCTTCAAGGGAATGGAACTTAGAATTGTGTCAGAAGTTGGCTTCATTTGGGATGATTCAGTCCACATTTGATCATTGCTTGTTTACAATGAAAAAGGGATCAGAATTTTTGGCCATATTGGTGTATGTAGATGATATTCTACTTACAGGTTCGAGTGAGGACTTGATAGCAGATTTGAAGGATTTTTTGGATAAAGCATTCACAATTAAAGATCTGGGATTGGCAAAGTACTTCTTGGGTGTTGAGTTGATAAGGGACACAAAGGGGATGTTCTTGGGCCAAAGGAAATATATACTGGATCTTTTAGGAGATATGGGAATGCTGGGTTGTAGAGGTGCAGTAACACCATTGCCTCATGGACTTACTTTGAAGGAAACAGAAGGAGTTGCACTGTTAGAGCCAGATCAGTACAGAAGACTAATAGGAAGGTTGTTATACCTTAACATGACAAGACCAGACATCACATATGCAGTACAGCAGCTTAGCCAATTTGTGGCTTCACCACATAGTGTGCATTGGGATGCAGCAATCCATGTGCTCAGATATTTACATGATCATGTGGACCTGGGTTTGCAGTTCACCAAGAGAGGATCTTCAAATCTTATAGCCTATTGTGATGCTGATTGGGCAGCTTGCAAGGATACAAGGAGGTCTATTACAGGCTATTGTATCTTTCTTGGAGGGTGTCTGATTTCATGGAAAAGCAAGAAGCAAATTACTGTATCCAAATCCTCAGCAGAAGCTGAGTATAGAGCTCTAAGCTCTACTGTTTCAGAACTCATGTGGATTTCCTATGTTGCTAAGAATCTTCATCTTGATTTAGCCTTTCCTGTGCCTTTATGGTGTGACAATCGGGCAGCTATTCATATCAGTGCAAACCCTGTGTTCCATGAGAGGACTAAGCACCTAGACATCGACTGCCATTTTGTAAGAGACAAGTACAAAGCTGGATTTGTCACCCCCAGGCATATCTCTACTCATCAACAACTTGCAGATCTCTTCACAAAATTGCTCAGTG